GAGCTGGAACCAACTTCCTAGGGAAGTGGTGCTGGCTCCTACCCTGGGGATCTTTAAGAAGAGGCTTGATGCCTACCTGGCTGGACTCATTTGAGTCCAGTCTTTTCTCCCACCCAGGCGGGGGGTCGGACCTGAAGATCTACAAGGTCCCTTCCGACCCCATTTCTATGATTCTATGATTCTATGATCCAACAGACCTGCTGCTAGCCTCTTTGCATCTGCTGGCTCACTAATCAGATCCCCTGCACTGGCCTTCCTGCCTTGGAAGGTTACAGTTAAGTGGTGGGCCATGAAAGGGGGGCCCAATCTTGCCTGGGGAACAGGGACATTCCCAGTGCCCACCTGTGCTTGTTTGCACAGTGGGAGGGGAGTCCACAAAGGCAGCCTGACCCTGCCTTATTTTGGCCCTTGGCTTGCAGGGCTGTTTCAGGATTGCCAGGTACCTCGAAGCTCCAGGGGGCTAGCTGGGCTGTGTGAGGAGAATACAGAGCCCTGGCAGCACTCCTGAAGCTATTGCAGACAGTGGAAATGTCTCCCTCATGTAATTGTGGGGGCAGGACACCAACCAACCCTGCCCAAACTGCACTGTGGTGAGGTGGCAGTGGCAGTCAATACAGCAACCCCTCACCATGGGCATGAGCTACCTGGCTCATCCCACGCCTCTGAACTGTAACTGCAGCCCAACACTGGGCTTTTCCCCAGGCAACAGTGCAAGGCTGCTGCCTCCCTGCCATCCAACCAGTATCTCTCCAGGGCTGGGAAGCATCCAGTCCAGAGAGGCAAGGCACCAGGAGCAGAGCCTGGCTTCTCATGCAGGGGAACACCCTTGCACCCCTGCCAGCAGTCTCTTTTTAAGCACACCAGCAGCCTGTGTGCAGAGGGATCCTGGCAGCTTAGAAGTTGCAGACAACTCAGTGGGGGCCAACCTCTTGGGTAGGCATTGCTCAGCCTAGGCCCTCACCCTTCTCAAGTGCCTCTCTCATCCCCTTCCCAATCTGCTGCCTTCCATGTGCTTCCCTGCCCAGTTTGCTGCTCTGCTTTCTACCCTACTTGCCCTTGTGCTGTCTGCTGGGTGCCACACACACCAGCTGCCCATGCCACTTACAGCACCCATGCTGCAGGTTTAAAGCAATCTCCCCCAGCTCCCCATCCCTGCTTTAAAACAAACATTTTCAAGGAGGCCAGAAATAGAGTATTTCCCCAGTCTTGTTAATCAGATGGTGGAAGCGGGAGATGCTGGATGCACTAAACGATCTGATACCTGCAGTTGTAGGTTCTCTCTGAATTCTATAGATTCCAATATCTACCCCTGACCCTGCAAACCTTTCAGCACCTGCCCTAATTTCTCTCAGGAGAGTAGAACCTGGGCTTTAATGGAACCACTTCCTGAGTATTTTTATGTCTGCCAAAGCCTTTCCAGACTAGCCAGGAACTTGATAGCCAAGTATTTTCACCATCAACAACAGCTGCAGCAGCATTGATGTTACTATTTGGCTGTGCTGAGTTTCTTTACTTTGTTTTCTTCCTTTTCAGTACAATCTTCTGCATCAGATGTGGGGCTGGTCCACAGATGGCTTTGTACCAGTATGGCACTACTGGTTAGAGACATAGTTAGTTAGGTTCATCCAAAGTCTGCTAGAAGGCAGGGTAGGATCAGCTGAAGTCAACTATTGGTTAGAACTAGGATTTCCTTTCCAAAACTATTATACTGGTCTGATATATATTCTATATATATAAAAGGCTTAGTCTGTCCATCTGCGTCTGTCTGTCTGTCCATAACGTTCCTGGAGCACTCTGATTGGTTGTTTTGGAAGCCAATCACAAGGCTTACTGAAACAACCAATCAGTGTTTCACACAGACAGACACACACAGACAGCTGGACACAGAGTGGAGGGGTGGTGTGTGGCTGGATACAGAGCAGTGGCAGTGGCCACCATGTGCAAGCTTCCCTCCCCCACTCCTGGGAGGCAACAGCAGTGTGGGGTGGTGGCGCATGGCACTCCATCACTGCCCACCCCCACCCCCGGGGTCATTCTTGATGGGCAGTTCGCTAGTACCTATATAAAGGCACAATTGCTTATTTACATATGGAAAGGGAAACAAACTACCCCAGTATAAGACACCTTGTATAACTGCATCCAAACCAGGGAGGTCTGGGTTTCTTAGTATACAATTGTTTCCTAACCCTTAACTCTTTTTTTTTTTTTAATTTTAAGTATTAAACAATATCTCTACACATAAGGCTGGTTCAAAAGCATTAAGACAAGTCTCAAATTTTGGTTTTGAACACTACATCGATAGAGATTGCAACTGTACAGGTCTTTCACATCCATGGGAGTTGAGAGAGCTCACAACCACAACATGACTTGTTGGAGGCACCTAGTCAGACACCTTCAACTTAAAATTCAATCAATTTTAATTTAATTTTCAATCAAATATATATATAGCACTTGCAGCTACAAGTCCTCCCAGTCTTCAGCATTCTGTGGAGCTTTACAGTTAGGAACATCCTATCTTTAAGAACATTTTTACCATTCAGGAATAAGGGATTCATCAACAATGTGATCCCTATTTTCAGGAAGGGGAGGAAGGAGGATTCGGGTAATTATAGGCTAGTTAGTCTCACGCAATCCTTGGGAAAACCTTTGAAAAAATTACCAAGGATCACATTTGTAGGAGCTCAGCAAGAAAGCAA